TATTGTGGTTAATTGTTGAGCTATGAACTGCCTATGGGGGTTATGATGTTGTCTAAGACTATGTTATTGCCTAAGAGGGCTATGTGTTGCCACAGGGCTATATTGATGCTAAAGAGTGTTATGTGTTGCCTACGGGGCTATTTTGACGCCAAAGAGGGCTATGTGTTGCCTACGGGGCTATATCGTTGCCAAAAAAAGGTATGTGACTTCTTACAAAGACAAGGGGCTATCAATAGGGTTATGTAGATTGATTTGACACCTTCTGGGCTTATGGGGCCCTAGGTAGGTGCTATGTTGTTTGTACCTACCGAGCTTATGGGGGCTTGGTTAGGTTTTGTTTGATCATTATTGTATTTTTTAGATTCAGTAGTGGGTTAGCATGCTTATCTAAATTTGATTTCCTTACCGAATTGCTTTTGGTATATTATGATACTTGCTCATTTAGTCTATAGCCTTTCATACTCTATACATTATTTTGTACTGACGCCCCATTGCCTCGGGGTGTTGCATTCATGTATGCAGGACCCGACAGACGACCCAGTAGACCTCCTCAGCAGCAGGATTGATTTCTATCTGGTTGGCTAGCCCCTTTCCTCCGGAGCTGCCAGAGTTGGGAGGTTTGTTAGTTTTTGTTGTATATATTTTTATGGGTAGGTTGGGGTCCTGTCCCGCCAATCTTTACTACTCTTAAAGGCTTGCAGACTAGTGTGGGGGTGTACAGCTACGTTATGGCCATGTTGGCCTAGTTTGTTGATTTTTTTTATGCTTGTTAGTTGTTTGATGTATTGTATTGATATATACCTGCTTTCAGTTTCGCTATAGAGATCATGGTGGCCTCGACGGCCCAATCAGGACTTCTGTGCTAGTTGGCTATTTCTTTATATGAACTCTTGGGAGTAGCTATTTCTTTTATAGATCTGTTGATAGTGGCCTTGTCGGCCGAGGTTAATTTTAAGCCGAGATATACTTGTTTGTTTTCTTGATTGCGTGTTGCTGCCATACGCTAGTAGCAAATGGTTCGGCAGGGTCGACTCGGGCCTGAGTTATGGCATTAGGAGCCAGTTGCGCCCCTTGAGTTTGGGGCGTGACAGATTTACACTTTAATCAAATAAATTTTTTGCAATGAATTTTATTAATTCTTGATAAATAAGGCGCAAGAACAAAAATTAAAAGTTTAAGAGAAATAATTTGGATAACTAATAAAATTGGAGAATGAGAAAGATTTGATTATTTTTTTTGAAGAAAAAAATATGGACCACATTTTAAACAAAAAAAATATATCTATAAAAGAGTTTGAATGAGAATAAGATTCTGAGCATGTTTGGCATTGTTGTTAGGAACCCATGCGCACTTATTTTGATAAAAGAACATTTGTTTTTTGAAAAAATAGGTGTTTGACAAACCTGCAAAACTGTTTTTAAATAGAAGCAGAATTAGTTTTTCTGCTATTGGGACTTGGGGTGAAGCTAAAATTTCAGCTTTAAAAAAAAAAAGTCCTTTCTATATGCATATATTAACTTATATATCTTTGATTAATTAATTAACATAACTTATATGTTTGGTTAAGTTTCATTTAATAATTTTATTTTTTATTTTTATATGATAAATTTTGTATTTTATTGTACGTTTACGTATTATTATTTTATCTCTTATTTTACGTATTATTTTACAGAATTAGAAAACAAAAAGAAGGTACAACAATATTTTTGTAAGAATAGAAAAAAACAATTAAAGATTTCAAACCTTTTAAAAAAATGTATAATATTGATTGAAAATTTGAATATGAACATTTTAATTTGATAAAAATAAAAATTTAATTTTTTTTTTTGTAATAGATGTTTAAACTAGTTTTTCTCTATAAAATAATCTTAATATTAAAAGTACATTAATACTTGCCCTTAATCGTAATTTGATTCTCAAAAGCATTTTTTTTAAAAGATTAGTCAAACACAATTTGATTATAAGAAACATTTTTTAAATTAATTAATCAAACACAAATTATTATTTTTTTCAAAAACATTTTTCAGGAAAGCTATTTTAAAAAGCGTTTATGAAGATAAGCAGTTTACCTATTTATATATTTAACTTTTACCGATAATAACCAAAACACAATTTTAATTATATTTACATGATTTCTTTTAACAAAAAAAGAGTACCTATTCAGATGGGATACACACAACACGTATACCACCGGTATACGGAACTAAATCGCAAACAAAATCGGCAGAGTCTGCTGGTATGAACTAAAGCGCCGTAACTTTTTTTTTTCCTTCGATTTTGATTACTTGTAATGCTTCAAAGTTCATTTTGTCTGCATTGGATTTTGAAGTTCTCTGTATACGTAGAATCTGCGATTTTCTGGATTTCATGCAGGCTGCAATTTTGTGTTTTTGACGTTCAATAGGTCAAGTGAAGAACTGAGTTTTTGAACAATGGAGAAGAAAACAAATTTACCGAAGAAGCCAATCGAAAAGCGAACACAATATCCGATTGGATCCGAGCAATATACAGTCTATGAGGAAATAGGGAAAGGAGTTAGCGCTTTGGTTCATCGCGCTCTTTGTATTCCTCTCAATGAGATCGTTGCAATCAAAATCCTAGATTTCGAGCGTGATAAATGTGATCTGGTACAAATTTTCAGCTTTTTTTTGAGTACTTATTGCCTCAATATGAAGTATTGGATGCTTGCTAGTTTTTTTGTATACTTCGGTTATCAAGTTATATATATATATATATATATATATATTTTTTTTTTTTTTTTTT